TTTTTTTTTTTTTTTTGCTTCCACCTGTGTTTTTCAAAAATCAAAAAGCAACACAAACACATACTTGTTTTCATAGGCTTACTGTTTACCAAACCCTGTTGTTTTATTAAACTGAGCAGTAGGGGGCGCTCATTCTTTGTGCTAAACTGCACAGGAGAACCTTTCAAAAGATTAATTATYGAAACCAAAGTTTTAAAGAATAATTTTGCAATCTGTTAGCCTTTGGTTTTCCTGTCAGGGATGACTCTCAGTTACTACTACCACATTCAATTTTACCTCATCTSTAAAACTGAGTTTAGAGCCATTTTTGTGTTTGCTGAAGTTGATTAGCTGCGGCGGCCATCTTGAATCGGGCTGACTCCAAATGTTAATGAGCTGTCAAAGAACATCCAATATAAAATTACTGAAAGTTTCATTATTATCCGGCTTGTAGTTCATGATATATTTTGCTAACAGCCACACAAGCTTGACTCCGACATTTATTGTTGTTGTTTTAAACACAGATTTTATACCATCTTTTAGTGTTTTGAGAATATGTTAGGGTAGACTCTCAGCTACTCCCGCACCAAATTTCAGCTCAATATCTGCTAAATTGACCGAGTTATTATTAGCTGTGTGTTTGCTAAGATTGATTAGCTGTGGCGGCCATCTTGAGGCGAATTAACTGCCAAAGTTAATCAGTTGTGTAGGTTCATCCAGTGATTAGTTCCTGAAAGTTTCATTGAAATTCATTTGCTGGTTTATGAGATATTTTGCTAACAGACAAGCCYGCCCGGATTATAACGTGTTGAATCCGTTTCCTGTGCACGCAGGGAGCCCAGCAGCGAGGAGCATCTTCTCCCAGCTTCGCCCAGCGAGCGAGAGATGGCCGTACCTGTAAGTTCACACAAACACCCMCCACCGACCCGGTTCAGAAAGCCTTCAGCTGGTCGCCTCTGTCCCGCTCCTCCAGGAGGTGAACTGCACTCTGTTTCTGCTGGCCGGCTACGTGAAGTACGGGCGCCCTTACGCCTGGATTCGCTCCAACCACGAGCGCTTGRTCAACATCGGCGGCACGGCCTCGATGGTGAAGGACACGCCGATGAAGCTGAAGTCCATCACGGACTGGCAGACACGAAGTAACGAGCGGCAGMATTAAGATTTGAAGTTTTTCACGAGGCGTTTGGAGAGATTACAGATTAGACAAAGCTCTGTCCGGTTGTCCTCGCTCTTCTCTCAGGTGTTCGTGTCTGGGACGTGGTGAGCGAGCTGGTGACCCTTTGCACCGTTCCCTCCCCCTCCAACCCCTTCGCCTTGGACATGCGTTACGTCAAAAATCTTCCCCTGCCGGACCGCTTCCTCGCCACKGGGGCTCTCCTTCACTTCCTGGAGACGTATGTGGTGTACGGGAACCGGGACGAGTTGCATTACGATAAAGGTCTTTTATTTTTTTTAATCTGGCCAGTTTCGAACACTTCTTTGCGGTCTTTTTTCGGTTTATAAATAAATACTTTCGATGATGTTTTTTCTGATTTCAGTGGTGGAGGAGGTGAAACCTCTGAGGCGGCTGCACGTCCAGTCRATGCTGGAGCTACAGCGACTCAGAGGAAGCGGCGGAGCAACAATACAGGACGCTGCCAGATTAGAAAAATCTCCTTAAAGCAACAATTCGCCTCGTTTCAAGTGAGGTTCTGTGGAGAATTCATTTAGAATCRGTCAATATCTTACCTGTTGCAGAAAGCAGTTTGGGCGACCTCAGGCTGAAGTTTTAGTCTGAGCAGGACCAAAGTGGACCTCTGCCGCCTTAAAACAACTCCAGTTTTTCAAACAGTTTTATAAACCTTTATGTATTTTTTTTCTGTAAGACTAAGACGACTGTCTGCGTCCAGTTGAAGACTGGTGGGACTGACAAACCTGTTAGCTTGTTAGCATTTTTAAAGTTGRCAAAACCTAATTTAATGGAAGCTAATTGAACCACTATTGTTTTTAAAGTTATTAGAAAGGCTAATCTGCTAAATGAAAAGTTAGTTTTGCTATTAACTGTTAATGAACAATAATAAAAACAGGTAAATCCTAACCAGCCTTCTCTCAGATACATCTATACCACCATTAGTTTGGCAGAAATAATGTTAATGCGTGGAAGTGCTGCTAGCTGCTGCCTCCATGTGGCTTTTCAAAAACAATTATGCTAAAACGGTGATAGTTTTATAAAATATAAATTGCTGTGAAACTTTGACCTGGTTCCAACTAGACTTGAGCTCGTCAGTCCCATCAAAATGAAACCATTTGTCCAWAATGAGGTTGATCAGAGCCATCTAAAACAGGTAAGATAGTTACTTGACACCTCTGGTAACTAAGTACAAATACTTTGTTACTTTACTTAAGTAGTAATTTTGGTTATTTATACTTTAGTGGAGTAATTATTTTTCAGACTACTTTTTACTTCTACTTCATACATTTTAATTTAATTATCTGTACTTTATACTCCTTACTTTTT